GGGGGGGGGGGGGTCTTTTCTATTGTCAATTTACATTGTCTTCTCTTAGAGGTATTAGGAAATAGAGCTGAGATTTAGGGGCATCAAAATCTTGTGTCTGGCACTTCATCTTCTACTCCCAACTTTTATGAACAAATGGGAAGTGTCTTTCATGCCTAAACTGAACTTAGAATATGAGCAGCCAAAGTTGATCAAGAGCTGCAATTACAACTTGTGCTTGAATCTAAAAGTTCCCTCCATACTAGATCTGTATCTATAGATCAAACTTGCATGTGCATGTACCTTGTTTTATCAGTTTAACTATGATGGGCTTGCTTGAATTGTTTTTGTATATGCCAGGTTGCGTTCCCCTAATGTTTAATTTTAAACCATCATCTGAACTCTCAAAACTTGCACGGCTATGTAGTATGCATGGTTATGTTCCTTCAGCTACATTATTGCTTCATCGTGCTTCATTACAAATTTATCTCAATTTCAATATTGTGTAATTAGAACATGCAAAATGTTCTCTATTGGGGAAGGAACAAATATAAGAGAACATACGATAGCTGGTCAGGTAAGGATTCAGGGACATAGATTCCAACAGTTCCACCAAGATGGTTGGTATTGGAGAGCATGTGACAATATCACAACACTATTCTATTTGAGGTCTGGACAGGTGAGCATGTTGCTTTGATATTCTTTGCTAGTATGATATCGTGTCGATTATTTATGTTCCTTAAACTATACCCATTGAAGGTCTTACTGTCATTAACGAGTAAAAACTATACCATTTTTGCTTTGTTTATGGGTATGAAGTTATTGTTCCTGAAAGAATACAAGATGATTAATTGGACTTGATTTGCTACGTTGTCTTTTTTTGTGGCATATTAAGAAAGTAAATAAAATTCACAGATGTTGGAATTAAGGTGCTCATTTCCGTCGTTGAATCATCTGTATATATTGCCATTTAAGCAGCAACGGAAATTAGGTTGTTTTTGTCATTTAAGAAGAGGACGAAGTTCATTTGTTGGTAGTGTGTTTTGAGACGTCTTCTTTACACGGAGTGTCATATTGTTCATCAGTAACCCATCAGATTCATAAGGTCATTCTTTTATTCCGATCCAAGTTCATAGGATCAGGATACTTAAATGCTTTAACCCTTTATTGTTGCAGACAGCATTTCGAACTGAGGCAAAACAGAATCACACAGATCAGAACCAGGAAATTAAAGGTGTAATGGGAAACTGGAATGCCTTAACCCTTTGCCATGACTCTTGAAGATGGCAGGTGAGTTAAAAAAATGTTTTTATTCTCCCATTAGAAAATGAGTTTCTGGATTAATTTCGTCATAGGTAGGCTTTTTCCATGCCTATTTAGGCGGCATAAATTTTATTATTTTTTAAAGATGAATTAACCATTGAGAATGATGAGTGCATTAATCTAGCCTCAACCTGGTTATAGTTTGTTTGAGAATGCAACTAAAAATAGGTAGTACACTATTGGAGCTAGAACGTGATAGTGGCTAGGCATATTTCTGTTGTTCTGCCTTCTTCCCTGCTAATAGTGTCGTCAATAGACTCCTCATTGACCATAACTTAAAGAAACGAGTTCTAATGGAGCTAGAACCTGAAGGGAAGGAAATACACCGGTGCTTTATTGAGTGATGTCTAAAACACAGCCGTATGATCTTACCGTGGGAGTGACTTTGCCCCTCCCAATCATGTCCTTATAGAGCGTAGTCAATATTTTGTTTTTGAAAATTAAGTCTAAATGTCATTCCACTTCTTATGGGTTTATTTGTTTATTTTTATTTATTTATTATTTTTTTGTTATCCACATTTTACAAAACCAAATACAACTTTTGAAACTAAAAGCAGATCAGCACATTCTTAGTAAAGATATGAATTCGGAACCTGCATCCGATGAGATTTGTTTCTTATTTAATTGATTTCAAATTTCCATTCCTTATTTGTGGATTTGCTTAAGTTTTGTAGAGTTTGACGTCTTGAGAATAACTTCCGAACTGGAGGAAAACTAGGTTTAGGACAACTTCCATCACACAACTCCATAGAAAGGGAAGAATAATTAGCGAGTGCATTTATACAAAGCATCATCAAGACGACAACTTGGAAGAAAAATTTTCACAACCAAAATGGTTTGATACAAAACATTAGTTCATCTCACACAACCCTCCTAGTCATCCTAATCATCTCTTGTTCACTAAGTGTCGCCTATCACCTCACCTCTCTCTCACACGACGGGGGGGACTCTGTAATAAGCTGCAACGGTCTTGGGAAAAAACATCTGCCTTACTCCTTCAGCCTTGAGAATGGGAAAGATAATTGCTGAAGCACTCTGCACAGGTAATGCAACTTTCATTACGTAAGTATTTGATTAATATTTGCTAGCTCTTATTCTGGTTAAAGTTGTTTTGAAATTTAATTATATAATTTACACGCTTTTAGTTTTCTGCATTAGCCATTAACAGACTGCTTGGCTAGCTCTTATTTTTTTAATTCATGACTTGAAGTGCATTGAATCTTCAAACAAAATAAGAATGGAGTAGAACTAATAAATGTTCAATTACACTCCTATTAATCTCTGATAATGTAGCAAACATTTCATCCCTGTATCATAATCTTACTAATTTCTAATTCTATGGGTGCTAATTTACTTAAACAATTTAAAACAATTTTTGAAACGTTAGTAAACAATTTGGTAGTGTTTTAAAGAAAACAAATGGATAAAAATGTGTTGATTTAAAAAGGAAAAAAAAAGTTGAATGGTGTTTAAAATATAAATGTTAAAATTTTGAAACGTCAATTAACAACTTGGTGGATAAAAATCTCTGTTGATTTAAGAAGGAAGAAAAAAGTTAAATAGTGTTTAAAATATAAATGCTCAATTTTTGAAACGTTAGTAAACATTTTGGTGGTGTTCTCAAGATAACAAATGGATAAAAATTTGTGGATTTAAAAAGGAAAAAAAAGTTAAATAGTGTTTAAAATATAAATGTTCAATTTTTGAAACCCTAGTAAACATTTTGGTAGTGTTTTCAAGAAAACAAATGTACAAAAATTTGTTGATTTAAAACGGAAAAAAAAAGGTAGTGTTTAAAATATAAATGTTCAATTTTTGGAACGTTAGTAAACATTTTGGTAGTGTTTTCAAGAAAACAAATGGATAAAAATTTGTTGATTTAAAAAGGAAAAAGAATAAAAGGACTTTTGAAAAACAGTTAAAATATTAGCTATTTGTCTCTCAAGTATATTACTATTCGCCGCTCCCATCCTGTATTTTGAAAAACAATTAAAATATTAAAAAGAAAAGGACTCGGGACGGGAACTATTTTTTTGTTTAAAAAATTCAGCATGGTTTCAGAGAAACTAACTTAAGATATTGTAAAACTACTAGTAGTTGTAAACAGACTTGCAAAAAAGGAAAAGGACCATTTTTCAAAATATTTCAATTCAAGATGAAATATATTTTATGAACATAATACTCCAATGAAATCTTCGTAGATAGACGTAGATATATGCACATACATTTCATCTTATTATTATTATAAATACAAATTTTATCCTACTAAATTCTCTCTTTTTTCTTTTTCTTTTTCTTTTTCTAAATGTTGATGTACAATCTATTATTATTATCATTGATCTTCTAGACAAGATTGAATCTTATCACCTTTGGGGGTATGTATGCTTATAGATTAGTAATTTAATGCTTCGTCGAATTCTATATGAAATTGGCCAAAAATGTTTCCAAACCAAAATAAGAAAGAAGCGTTAGAAGCACTTACCGAAATTAACCTGGCTCCAATCCAGACGCGTTTGGGAGAAGGAAATGGGATCAGCAGCCGACCAACACCGTATATTGCCACTGCGAAGAAATGGAGAACCAAGCTCAATGGGCGAGGGTTCAACCCAGAGAGTAAACAAACTGGTCCATTCGAGAAGATTCCACCCAGGCTCAAATAATCGAAGCAAGCCTGACGCATTTCCTTTCTAGCCTGATCCGGTGAGGCACAGAACACTTTGTAAAGGGCACCTGCCAACGTGTTTATCGTCGAAGCCACTGGCTGCAATTAAAGAAATAAAGCAAAGTCATTATAATTGGATAACTAACAACCATTTAGAAATTTTAACTTTAAAACATATCTAATAATTTTTAAAATTTTGAATTTTACCAATACACCTAAACGTTTTGATCAATTTTGCCTGACAAAAAAAAAACATTTGATAGGTCGGACTTTTCGGTTACTTTTAAAGTTACGGTCTATCTATTACAGGTGTTTTCATATTAGACATACACTATGGACAAAAGAAATGTTTTTTTTTTTTTTTTTCATTACTTTTAGCAAGAAAAAAAGGAACAAAAAGCAGACAATTGAAACCTACCTTGCGGAGAGTGTAGAATGCTTCAAGATACTTGCAGAGAGTGGGTGCATCATTCAGATCACGCAGAGGCTTGAGAAGATCTCTAAGAACAACAATGTCAGACAATGCAACGGTCATTCCTCCGCCAGTAAGAGGATGACGCATATTGAAAGCATCGCCCATCAATAGGGCTCCTGGAGTAGGAAGAGGATCTGCTGGCATACTTCTATTTGGCATTGTTCTTATATTACCCTTCTTATCAACAGCAGCTATGAAGGAATCATAAAGTTGAGGGGGAATCTGTGTATATCAAACTTCATATGGTCATTAAATAGGTTCAAGCTTAATCGATAATGAAATAGATGGGTGAAGAAAACTCAGGGATGAGATTAATGGGAGAACAATAGGGAGTATACTATTGGTACCTGAGGAGCAACAACATTCTTCAAATAGTTAGCCATTTCACCGTTTGAAATGGAAGGAACTTTCTGACCAGGCACATCCACCAAACAGCGGATCTCCGTACTGCTAATGGGATAGAACAAAATAGGAGAAGGGTCTGCTAGTATAACATGTCCGTGATTTGCATGAGGAAGGTCACAGTTCTCAAGTACAAGGCCAACAAAACAAGAGGGAACATCCACCTGAGAAGGATCCAAGTATTCAAAATCTTCTCAGCACAGGGAACCGTATCTTAGTTCTTAACAATCCTATTAGCTTTGCATTAGATTAATAATATGCGGCAGAACATGCATCTTCGTTATAAAGAATTGAAGGGTGTTTCCCACCTTAGGGTTACAAAGAGACCGTCGCAAATTTGAAAAGCATCCATCACAAACAATAGTCAACGGGGCATAAGCTGTCGTCTCTTGGCCAGATTTGTTTTTGTATTGCACACCTTTGATAATACCATTTTCCTCGAGCAGAGAAGTGACTGTTCCCTGCTCCAAGCGCACACTAGAAAGGTAGAGGAACATATTAATAAACGAATACATTACAAGTCCTAAATAAAGCACAAGGACGTTGCTTAACAAAGAGAAAGATATTGGTATAATTGTTAACTCGATCTTAATATTAGGATGTACATTAGGAAAAAGACACATAAAAAGGTTTTATGAAGATTTAGTTTCAATTATCAACAACGAGTGGTTACATACGAGTCTAATTACAAAATGTTTCCCTAACGTGACTGAATCTTAGGGCATATATATCACTACTCCATCATTAAATATAACATCTCTTGTGAACATCAGAACCAAATATTACATATACGCTTTGACCGTCAAATCCGGGAATAAAACATGGTAATGGTGCAACATGATAAAAATGGTGAATGGCTTTAGCGTTTCATTGCATCACTCTAATTTTGATAGGAATTATATGTAAAGCAGATGAAGATAATAAATGCAATACAGAAGAGGACAAGTATAGCTGTCGACACACTGCATGTAACAATAATGGTCAAACATATAGAAGGAAAGTAAAAGGAATTACTTGGACAGGGTTGCGGCCTTCTCACGCATCCTCTGAATGAAGCGCCCATTGTGAAAGCTCCTCCCAGACACGTCTGAGTGAAATTTTTCCAAGGGGTATGAGAGTCGTGTATCCTTCCCATCCTTGAAGAGAGCATAACCATACACTCGTTGAGCGTCAATATTATCCACGCAATCTGCATAGGAAACAGTATATCGACAACCAATTCTAGTTTGCTTAAAGGCTCAGAAGAAAATCCTCGGCCAGAAACAGGATACTAATGAAGTAAACCAACCTTCAAGTCCCAACTCTGTTAACTTAAGATAGCCCCCAGGCTGTAATAATTCACCAACAATTCTGTCCGGTTCTGTCAAGTCTCTTTCAATCACATGTACACGACGACCATCCTGTATTTCAAAAAATAATTTAAATATATAGCATCCACTAGCAAAAGTTGAGTAAGTATTAAGGAAAAGTCATTTAGCATAAAGAAAATGACTAAACCATTCTTTAAAATTTTCAACAACTACATATGCTAACAGAACAACTATAAGCAAGGAGCACCAAAAATAGAATCCTACTCTAAGTGACAATTACCAGAACGAATGCTAATGAGATGGACAGTGAAGAAATTAGTTTTCACAGTAGGCTCTAGATACATGAAACTGCCTTTTGTCGTACAAATTTTTATGGTAGCTGACCAACCAAAAAGTAGTACGATAGAAAGCAAACCGTCAGATTTGACACACTGACACAGCGGACTATCTGCAGAATATAAGTTCATCTTCCTTTTCTTGAGCCTTTTTTTATTCAGACTCCAAATTGTCATCAAAATATTAAGTACTAAGGAAAATCTTAGAATTATCTAGAGTTATGCGTGGAGATCTGTATTTATAAGAAGTGTTTCTGTGATGAAATACTTTTCTTCCACGAACTTTCAAAAGAAGGAGAAGAAAAGGATAGATAAGTGCTTCTCTATAAATCTCCAACTCTTCTCAGCGTTTTTTTCATTAATATTTATGCACAACAAAATACTTTTAACCATTTCGAAGAGATTTAGATGGCTAAAACCTAAAATCTCTTAGAGTATTTGGAAAAGAAAAAAAAATACAGTCTCAAACAATAATTTATTCTTTAAAAATCATCTACGTTCATGGATTTGAATTCATTTCACCAGTATCAAGAAGTAATTG